TACAGTCTGACTCTCGTAGGCAAATGTTATGATTGTCTAATATCATTGCATCTCTATCTTCATGATTACAGTGCAACATTACAATGTGGAGGAAGTCATTTTGGCAGCTTAGTTTCAACAAATGCTCCTTTTACAAAAAAGAAAAGAAATCACAGGACGTGTTTGATGTTAAAAAGAGTTCATTTGACTAGTGTGATTGCAATGTTCCACGCCCAGGCGCGGTTTGTTTAGCCATCCCTGGCTCGCTTGGAAGAGGTGAGCCAGAGGACAGTTCAGTTGGGCTCGGGGGTGGTACGCAAGTAGTGTGATCGCTTGCCATACCAGAGCATGGAACAGTGTGCGCACTACTGTCATCATTACAACTGCAAACATCTTCTATTACTACCACTACAGTACACTTTTCAATTAATTTAATTAAATCAAGTATATTTAGGTTTATATGGGGTCTGGTTCTCACCTTATTGATTGTAGTTTGCGAATAAAGCTGCAAATTCTTTCATTAGCTGCCTCAGTAATAATCTTCTGATACATGCAAGTGAAAATCACTGCACGGCATAAATGATAAATTTATTTGGCAGTCTATTAGCCAAAGTGGTTTTCTCCCTGTTATCTCGTACATGACGTAAGCGTGCTCCGGTCCGGAATGTTTAGTGCAAGTGTGAGTGCAGGCCAGCGGGGCAGTGGGGAGGGGGGATAAGCGCACTCGGGCTCAGTTCAATGCAACTGTACACCCTTAAGCACCCTTAAGCACAGTAAGACCTAACCTGTCAGACCTGAAGCTCACGCAGAGAATAGTGATGGGAAGTTCGGATCATTTTACCGACTCGGACCTTTGAGTCTCGTTCAGCAAAATGAACGAATCTTTTTTCGAGTCATTTCGTTCATTTCGTTCATTTTAACAAAATATAATTAAAATGTTACGTGTTACTTCCCTAATACGTCTACTACTTACGCAAACGTTGATCACACTACAAACAATACAAAACTGCTATAAGAAACAGAAAATATTAATTCATTGTTTACCTGAGTCTTCAGTCTATGATTAGCTCACCACCTCTTATCTGACAAGTCTTCGGGTTTGGGCTTATGGGGCTGTCACGTGATGAACGAACGACTCGAAAAACCCGAAGACTCGAGATGAACTAATCAATTCTCTTTCCGGCTCAGACTGCATTGGTTAAAGCTTATGGGGCTGTCACGTGATGAACGAACGACTCGGAAAAACCCGAAGGCTCGAACCAGGTGAACTACTTGACTAATTCCAGTACAGAACCTATAGGATGTTGCGCATGCGCGACTGAACGAATCGCTCCCCGATACGACTCGTTCTTCCCGAGTCACATTAAAGATTCGTTCAAAACGAACGAATCGTTCAAGAACGACCCAACACTAGCAGAGAAAGCCACCCTTCAGACAGTGATTGCGAATTCAGTTCTCTTTCACAGATTATTGAGCTTGAATGGTCAAAAATATGTCAAAATGCACTTCCTGGCGACCTTTCATGTAAACACAGTCAGGTTTGTTTTAAGTGAACGTAAACAGTTGAGAAAGAAATCAGATGTTGCAATGTATTAGATCTGTGCAGGTCTTAAAATGACAGCAGCCTAATATATCTGCTGCTGTCTGTATGATTAATGTTAATTAAACATTAAAAGAAAGGAGAAAATCACCCACTGCTATTGACTAAATAACTATAATATAGTTAAGAATAAGTGTATAGTTAATTTATAGAGTAAAGACTATTCCGTTTTTAGCATTTGATTATTTAATTTATTACTTAAATACTAAGTAGAGTTAAATATACCTACTGTAGCCTACCTGCAGATTTTAAAACACTGTTCATTTCATTTGTATCTTTCTTATATTGTTTTTGTCATATTGATTGTAATTTACATATTTGCTTATTTGTAATAAAAAAAGTTGTGATATATAATTACATAAAAATATGAAATTACTCGTATTGTGAAAAGTTCACCTTTGAGAGAACTCTGACGATGTCTCAGAATGTTGATGCTATGGGAAGCTTCTGCATGACCTGCATCTGAAGCATGTGTGAAATCACTCCAAACTCACTGCTGAGACATCATCCTGTGACAAATGACAGCACATCTCAGAAGCTATATGTTGTTTGTCCTGTAGTAATTTAGAAATGGCGAATAGTAAGCAGCAGTTTAGTATCTATGTATCTCGCCCTGTCCGCGCTACATTATGGGAGGTGACACACACAATCTGTGTGTGGTCTGCTTGGGAGCAGAGCATGCACAGTCAGCCCTTGAAGGAGATGGCTGTGTTCACTGTGAACATCTGGCGTTAAGAACTCTCCACTCCTGCCTGGCTCTCTTTGAGGAGCGAGGCCAGGTACGCGCCCCTCGTGGTTTGGGTACTGTGTCTGCTGAGGCAGTGTGGCAGCTCAGACCTACTCGTGCACCTGCTCTGAGTGGGACTCAAACCCGGGTCTCCGGCATGGGAGGCAGGTGCACTAACAAGGAGACTAAAGACCACAGCCCTTAGCGTCAGTTGCTAGTGCACCTCTTGAGATCAGGGGAGTGAGGTTTACCTGCACAGCACATACCAGCTAGCCTCCGTTACACCCTTCTCTGGTGGCCATTCCATGGCAGCTATGGAGGGATGTGGAGAGGCATCTATGGCTAAACTTAAAAGAGAAAGACAAGTCTTTTCTTTTGGACACCCCACTCTCCACTTCTGGCCTCTTCGGCGATGCAGTCAACACGGTTGTGATTTAAGGAGGCAATTAAACAGGGGATAGCATTTCAGAAATATATCCCCCACTAGGTCCAGGTCTCAAAAGAGCAGCCCTAGCTGAGTACAATCTCCTCACACTGACAGCATGAGACAGAAGCAGAGTGTTGCTTCTCAAGGCCCCCTCAGAAAGATTGGGGGTTAAGACGGCACTCGTAGCTGAAGCCTACCTAAGGGCGGACAGATCTGAGGCCCGTCATTCTCTCGAGAAAGGCTTCAGGCAAGAGGTCCTAATGCCAGTAGGCTCAGGGCTTCGAGGGCAGACCCCTTCGGGAAGAAGTGGTCCACACCAGGCTTAATTGTGACTGTTTCTTCTTGGTGCCCTCATGAAATTGGTCTGCCAACCTCAGTGCCTCAGGGTGCAGCGGTTTCCAGCGAGCTCATCGCCCAGTGTTTGCCTGGGAATGTTGCAGGACTGGGTGACTTGCTCCTTCCAAGGAGAGTATTGGATGCCTGATTTGGGGTCTGTGGAGAGGTCATTGTCTATTATGATACATAAATTGCCTGGAGATGATGGCTGTACTTCTAGCACTGAGATAGATCTCAGAGGCTACCATGTCCTTGTCTGCTCAGACAATACATTGATAGTTTCGTAGGGTTTAGCCCATGATGGGGACAACTCTGGTCTCTGAACTGAATGAGACCATTCTTAACTCTAGAGCTCCCTCCACAAGGAAACTGTATGCTTTGAAGTGGAGACTCTTCACTTTTTGGTGCAGAGAGCGCCAGTTAGACCCAGTTAACTGCCCTGTTGGTTCAGTGCTGGAGTTCCCTCAGCATCACTTTTCTTCTGGGCTATCCCACTCCACTTTAAAGGTTTACTTGGCGGCCATTGCTGTTTTCCATGCATCTTTATGTGGTGATTCAATAGGGAGATAAATTTAAGACGTCACCTTTATTTATATAGCATTTTACACAGTACAGATTGTGTCAAAGCAGCTTTAGCGTGTTACACCGTGTCTACATTGGATGCGAGGGGTGCGGCAAGACGCGAGAAAATACAGTAGAACCTATTATAATCAGTGATGCTGTCTACACTACACGACAAATCCATGACAGTAAACTGCTGCCTTGTTCTATTTATGATGTACTGACACAAAATTCTAATTATTTGCAACGGTCGTTTTGTCGCATCCAGTGTAGACAGCCAATAGACAACCTGTTTCGGTGCGGCGCGTCCGGTGTAGACACAATGTTAAACAGGAAAATAATGTTTAATTTAATGATGCAAACAAATTTTAGTTCTGTGGTAAAGTAGCTCTAAAAAGAGGACAATAGTTAACAGTCTTTTTTTCAGTTATTCAGTTCATTGTTGATTCAATTCAGTTTAAATATCTTAAAATATGTCAGTTCCATTGTTTTGTCTCAAGATGCACACCAGTAATGTTTTTTTTTTCTAAGACATGTTAATAAAAGATACTTAAATGTCATAATTGAACTATGGCTAATCTTGGCTTAAACTTACATACATAGTAAAAGATTTTTTAAACATATTTCATCCACTGATTATTTTCTTTCAAATTTATGGTTCTATATTCAGATCTATAATCAAAACTTTTTATTTAACATTCAGTATTATTGTTTTAATTACAAGAGATTTAAAGAATTTTCTTTTATAATTACAAGTTGCGAGTTGCAAAAGGCATATTTGTTAAATAATATTATTAAGGGAACAAAATTGAATTAACTTCTTGTTGGCACTGATAGCCTTGTGGTTAGCGCACAACACATGATGCAGTTGCGCCTCCAGCAACATGAATTTCATTCCTGACTTAAGGTCCTTTGCTGGTTCTGCTCCCATTTCTCTGCCCAATGCTTTCTTGTCAATTCTCTACTATCCTATAAAAATAAAGGCCATGAAAAGCCCAAAAATATAACTTAAATAAGGGCTTCTCATGGAATTTTCCAGATAAAGTCCCGTCCACTTCCATTTTTATCCAAATACAATTCATTTTGAGATTGTTACAGATACAGATATTGGCTCCGCTGCACACCCCTACCTCAGATACAAGTTTGAAAGTATAAGTAATAGGAAACTAAAGTATTAAATGAACATTAGAAGCAGTAAAGATTTAATCTTTGAAAAACAGTCAAATGACACTAAATGCACAGATGCATTGCTACATTTTCAATGTTTAATATTTTTGTTCCATGTTTCTTTCAGGAACTTCCTGTACATGTCTTTACTGTTAGTTTATTATTATTTTACATTTATTTATGTTATATTTCGTCTCTTCTAGTCTTTCTGGCTGTAATCTAACTACTCAGCATTGTGAAGTAGTGTCAATAGCTCTTCAATCCTCAAACTCTGTCCTGAGAGAACTGGATCTGAGTAACAATGACCTGCAGGATTCTGGAGTGAAGCTGCTCTCTGATGGACTGAAGAGTCCAAACTGTCAACTGCAAATACTGAGGTATTTAAGAACATATAAGAGATACTTTACAGTCAGCCAGTCATAATGTTTATGTGTGTTTGTAGATGATTTGACTGTTGATGTATGTGTTCTGATCTTTCAGTCTTGCTGGCTGTAATCTTACTGGTCAGTGTTGTGAAACTGTGTCATTAGTTCTACAATCCTCAAACTCTGTTCTGAGAGAGCTGCACCTGAGTAACAATGACCTGAAGGATTCAGGAGTGAAGCTGCTCTCTGATGGACTGAAGAGTACAAACTGTCAGCTGGAGATACTGAGGTTTGATTTTCACATCCAGTTTCACTGATATTTGTTGAGATAATAGGAAATGATGTGACAACACAAATCAGTGTCAGTTTTATTTGTATATGTAAGTGCTTTCTAAGCTGTTTTACTGAAAATTATTCCTTAATGTTTTAAAGCCAGAGTGATCAGCCAAAAGTGAAAATAACATTGCAAGATATTTAAGTAGTGGAGAGAAAAGTAGTGCATTCAGTTTCTGACATACTCCACGTCCTTGAGTCTGTCGACAAAAGAACAAATGGAAGAGTAAAAGAATGTTCGCTTTGATGTGCCTGGTTTAAACGGCTCATTTGTGTCTCTATAGAGATTTCAGAAGAATCCCAACCTCAAGAACAAGTGGATGGTTTATTTGTAATGGGATTGCGTCTGAGGATTATGTTTGTTCTGAATATTTGAGCTCAAATTGTTTTGTAAACAAGGCACAGTGGACCTGTGGACCACTTCCGGTTGAGATTCCATATGAGTTTGAGAGCGCACCTCAGGGCATGCTTAATTGCTTATTAGGGGGTTGTAATGAGGAGGGCTTTGATTTGATTGAGACCTTATCTGTGGGTGCAGCAGCTCAGTCTGGGGCTGATGCCGAATTGACAACCATGCTTGCCTGGGCAGCCAAGAGCATTGGGCTCGAGTGGGCTCCTCCACCTTGCCCTGAGCACTTGCGGCTTTAAGATTGGTTCTTGGGGTCTGAGCGCAAAGCACAGTTGCATTCATCCCCAATTCCTTTCTTCTCATAAGTGCATGAAGAGCTGACGAAATCGTTGAAGGCACCTTTCTCTGCCAGGACATAATATACAACTTCTTCTGTTCTTACCATGGAAGATTGCAGTGCTGCGGGGGCTATTCGGGGGTCCCTCAGGTGGAGAGGGTGATTGCAGTGCACTTATATTTTATAATGTAATAATGGCTATGTCAGTATACAATGGATTATAAATATCATTAATTATTATGAAAATACCTGAGATGGCTTGAACAACACAGATATATTGTCGCAGCAATAGCTTTATGCTTTTGTCCATTTTAGGAATTTCCTGGAATGTCACGAGTTCTAATACTTCTATGAGCTATATTTTAACTTTCTACGTGAGGGCACCCTCTGGCTACGAGTATGAATGAAACAGACATTACATGTGTTAGTGCTCAGTAATGCTCACTCCATCCTATTTTGGGTAAAAATAGGAAAATTAATACTTCTCTCTAAATAAATTTGAAGTAAACATATGCTATTCCATGATCTCTAGTTCAAAATGAAATCATTATGTTTATTATTATTTTCTAATTATTATATTGTGTAGCGAATCAGCTCATTGGGGAAATATGAATAATTAATCAGAACTAGTTATAATTAATTATAAATATTTAGATCCGCTGTAAGTATTTACTTGACCTCTCAGGGTCAACCGTCTGTCAATTCTAAGAACGTTAATTTCCTGGTTAAGGGAAATAACTTTCTTACTGTACAATTCTACACAGAGCCTGTAGCATAAATCTGCATGATTAAGGGACTCCAGTTATGAGCAAACAATGAACAACGTCAAGTGTGATACAAGTAAGACTTTATTAACTACATAAACACTTAAACTAGTCTAACATACTACATAAACACAAACTAGTCTAACATACACATATACACATATACACACACACACACACGCACACGCACACGCATACAGTTGGTATAGGAAAGCGTTAAAGCTTAAGCAGTAAAGAGCAGAGAAATAAAAATATGAAGTTATGGAACCATTTGATATTCAGCAGATTTACAGCCTGAAGGGAACATCAGATTCTTAGTTCAAACACACCTTTGTAAAAAGGTGCAAATGATACTTAATGTATCAATTAATAA